GTGGTCTGGGTGCCAGGTCCAGCTAGGGTTAACCCATTTTTTCATAAACAGAGCAGTTTCAGAGAAACTGCTATGTTTATGAATGGGTTAAGCCTTCCCCTATTTCCTCTAGCGGCTGTCTCATTGACAGCTGCTAGAGGCGCTTGCGTGCTTCTCACTGTGATTTTCACAGTGAGAGCACGCCAGCGTCCATAGGAAAGCATTATGTGTCCTATGTGACCGGCTGAATGCGTGCACAGCTCTTGCCGCGCGTGCGCATACAGCCGACGGGGAGGAGAAGAGGAGGATCGGAGGAGGAGAGCTCTCCGCCCAGCGCTGGAAAAAGGTAAGTTTTACGCCTTTTCCCCTTTCCAGAGCCGGGCGGGAGGGGGTCCCTGAGGGTTGGGGCACCCTCAGGGCACTATAGTGCCAGGAAAACGAGTATGTTTTCCTGGCACTATAGTGGTCCTTTAAAGGACCACTACAGACACCCAGATCACATCAGCTCAATGAAGTTGTCTGGGTGTCAGGTCCCTCTAGTTTTAACCCTGCAGCTGAAAACATAGCAGTTTCAGAGAAACTGCTATGTTTCACTGAGGGTTAATCCAGCCTCTAGTGGCTGTCTCACTGACAGCCGCTAGAGGAGCACACTGAACGTCCATAGGAAAGCATTGAGTAATGCTTTCCTATGGGCGGTTTGAATGCGTGCGCGGTCGCATTCGGAGCTGAGAGGCTGAGGGATCCCCAGCGCCAAGGGAGTCCGGTGCTGGAGAAAGGTAAGTGCTGAAGACACACACACACTCTCACTTACAGACGCATACACACTAGCTAACAGACACACACATTTACTGACAGAGACACACTCAGCGACAGACATACATACACACTCACTTACAAAACATACACTCTCATTGACAAACACACACTCACTAACAGACATCAAACAGACTCACTAACACACACACACTCAGTAAGACACACAGTAACACACTCACTAGCAGACACACACACTAACACTCACACTCACTCTAACACTCACACTAACACTCACTAGCAGACACACACACTAACACTCACACTAACTAGCAGACACACACACTAACACTCACTCTAACACTCAAACACTAACACTCACACTAACACTAGTTTTTGTTTTAATTTTTTTAAATGTAATCCCCCCAGCCTCCTTACCTTTTGGAGTGCTGGGGGGATTCCCTGGTGTCCAGTGGTGCTGCTGGGCTCCTGGGCGGGTGGCCGGTCGGGCAGGCAGGCAGGCAGGCGCGCGAGGGAGCACTCAGTGCTTCCTCTTCAGCCCCCCCGCGCGCCGCGTAGGGATGCCGGAGCCGGAAGATGACGTCATCTTCCGGCTCCGATATCAGTGCGGTGCGCGAGGGAGCACTAAGTGCTCCCTCGCGCGCCTGCCTGCCTGCCTGCCTGCCCGCCCGACCGACCGGCCACCCGCCCAGGAGCCCAGCAGCACCGGTGACAGCAGGGCCAGCCTGGGGGGGGCCCTGTGGCTACATACCGGGTCGCAGGGGCGGCCGGGCCCGGTCGCAGCCGCGACCCCTGCGACCCTGGTATGTACGCCACTGCTCGGGTGTCATCTCCTTCTAAAGCAGGTTGCGTTGTAGTTCAGGTCCAGATGTAAGATCCTGCTGACCGGCAGAATGGCTCAATGCACTTGCTCCTGTCAGTCTTTCCTGTGTAGCATGGTTGAGCAAAGGACCGGCGGAGAGGAGCTTCAGTAAACTGAAGCTCCTCTCCCCCAGTCCATGACCAGGGCCGCTTTAAGGAATTTGGGGGCCCCAAGCAAAATGGACATGGAGGCCTCTCCAATCCCCTAACCCTCCCACACACATGCACGCAAAGCCTACAGGAACCACAGCATAGCCATACAGTTTAAGTTCACCGACACTTTATATAAATAGAAAAGGTATACATTGCAAATACTGCTGTTGCATATACTGTGCATAAAATGTGAACATTTCAACAATTGAACATTTGCAAAAAACACCACTGTACCATAAAATCAAATATACATTAAAAAAGTGCACAATAACTAAATCCAGCATACTTAAAATACACACACACACACTCGCATTAACATTTTTCAGTTCTCACAAACATGTGCAAATTATCTAAAACTGCTCCCCCCTCCTTCTTACTCCCCTCCCTGTGTCCTTCTTACTCCCCCTCCCCCTCACACTCCCCCTCCCTGTGTCCTTCTTACTCCCCCCTCCCCCTCCCTGTATCCTTCTTACTCACCTCCCCCGTGTCCTTCTTACTCCCCCTCCCTGTGTCTTTCTTCTCGCCCCTCCCTCTCCCTGTGTCCTCTCCCCTCCTGGTGTCTTTCTTCTCCCCCCCCTCCCCTCCCTGTGTCCTTCTTACTCCCTCCCCCATCTCTTCTCCCCCATCCCCCCCCCTGTGTCCTTCTTACCTCCCCTCCCCATGTCTTTCTTACTCCCCCCATCCCCCTCCCTGTGTCCTTCTTACTCCCCTCCCCTCTAAGTTCTTTTTATTCCCCCTTGTTTTTTACTCCCTCCTCCCTATGTTCTTTTTACTCCTCATGTTTTTTTACTCCCCCCTCCCCTCCTATTTTTTTTTTCTCTCCCCATTTTTGACCCCCCTATTTTTTTTTTTACTCCCCTATGTTTTTACTCCCCCACCTTGTTTTTTTACTCCCCTCCCCATCCTATGTTTTTTTACTCCCCCCTCTCCATGTTTTTTTTACTCCCCCTCCTTATGTTTTTTTACTCCTCTCATGTTTTTTTTACTCCTCCCCATTTTTTTTACTCTCCCCCTCCCCATGTTTTTTTTACTCCCTCTCTCCCCCTCCCCCATGTTCTTCTCACCTCACCTCCCCTTCTCTGTAGCGTGGCCGAGCACCTCTTCATCCTGGCTGTCAGTCCGGCCGGGTACCGCGCGGTACAGGAGATTCAGTTTCCTGTTCCCGGCCGGACTGAAAGGAAGTGAGCACTCAGTGTGCATTTCCTGCCAGTCCGGCCGGGAACAGAAAACTGAATCTCCTGTATCGCGTGGTACCCGTCCGGACTGACAGCCAGGAGGTAGAGGGGCTCGGCCACGCTACAGGGAAGGGGAGGACGGAGGTGACGAGAGGAGTGCTGCAGCCGCCTGAGGCTCTCTATAGAGCGCTCAGGCGGCTGCAGCCTTATAGGAATCACCGGCTCTGCTTAGGGCCCTGGGCCCCAAGCAATTCCTTGGTTTGCCTGCCCGGTTGCGATGGGCCTGTCCACGGCTCGGCCACGCTACACTGGAGGAGAGAGGTGAGAAGACACATGGGAGGAAGGAGAACGGGGTTAAGACACAAGGGTGGGTCAGGAGATAAGACACATGTCAGAATGAGACATATGGGTGAATGGGTGAATGGACACATTGGGGGACTGGGAAATTGCGACACATTGTGGGTAGCTGGGGGAATGAGACACATTGGGGAGCTGGGGAAATAAGACACAATGGGATTGCTGGATGAATGAGACACACTGGGGGGAGCTGAGGGAATGAGACACATTGGGGGCTGAGGAAATTAGACAAATGGGAGACTGGGGAATAAGACACATTGGGGAGCTCAGGGAATGAGATGCGTGGGGGGTCGAGGGGAATGAGACAAACGGGAATGAGACTCATGTGGAGCTGGGGAAATGAGACACATGGGGGACTGAGGAATGTGACACATTGGGGGAATGAGACACATGCAGAAGTTGGGGAAGAAAACAGGTGGATTGGAGGTGCTAAAGGGAATGGGACACAAAGATAGGCTGGGGAAGACACATATAGAGGCTGGTGGAGAAAGAGACAAGGTGATGTGGGAGAGGCTGGGGAGACACATATAGAGGATGGGGGAGAAAGAGACAAGGTGCTGGTGGAAAGAGTGGCTGGGAAACGGAGAAAGAGACACACAAAAGATGCTGGGGAGAGAAAGAGACACCCTAAAGGCGGACAAATAAACACGGAGGAGCTGTGGAGAAAGAGACAAGGTTCTGGGGGAAGAGGAGAAAGAGATACCCAAAATGTGGTAAGAAAGAGGGGGATTCAGGGACACACAGGTGAAAATGCATGTTTTTTTTTTGGTGGAAGGAATGGGGGTGGCAAAATGCATATTCACCTGTGTAGCACTGGCCCTATTCAGGTCACTAAGTGATATCAGTGGCTTATCTGTGTGCATACTTTTGATGGGGTGTGGCTAAAGATGCAGGCGTATGGTGCAGCATTCTTCAAACATTTATTTGTTCTATGCAGAAGCTATACAGATTTGTGCATGCAAACAAAATACAGCATATTAATGAGGTTAAAACCTATCAAATTCATTAAAGTAGCATTGGTGTCCAGAGAGTACCTTTAATTAATTAAATGTGATGAGATCTCTTAGCTGAAAAAAACAATTTCAGTTAAAATTAGAATAGAAATCTCCCTTTTTTTTAAATTGTCAATATTCAATCCCAACCATACTATGGAGTGACTACTTGAATAAAAAGGGGAACAACTTACAACCCACACAGTGACAACCAATCCTACGTTCTCATCAATATTTATAGAATCAATATCAATACTTTTACATTGTGTGTGTTATAGGAAATAACAGTTGACAATTTGTATGCAAGTAAAACTTTATTTTAACAATACAACATGAAAAACAAAATATTTTATGCCAGTTATAGAAATAAAACAGTGCCCTACACTACAATACTTTACATATGATTGCTGTATACAATGTCTGTAAATTAAATCCAATTGCTGCATTCTATAAATGGTTCACAGGAAAGCTGAGATGATTGTCGAATGTTGTAATGCCTGATTCTAAAATGTGTTTGTGTCTGTTTTCACTATACAGAAGTATTATTACGTGTCATGTTTTCCAATATTCCACATTTAGTTCCCCTTCTCTAAAGTCAAGTCCTCCACAGATAAAGTATGTTACATATCCATGTTATCAATCCATGTTCAATATTACATTAAATTAAGTGTCATATATATATATATATATAAATGTCCCCAGATGCTTCCTAGACTTTTGAATAATACATTTGCTATGACCTACTGCCAGCCTTTAATAGTACAATGGTGGCCATTAACGATGCATGATAAAGGAAGGGGTTGGTTGCTTAGTACCTGTGCATACATCGACTATGAATTAGTCACACATAGTTGAACATTTTAACAATAAAACATGACTTTAAAACACATTCTGATGGGTATCTGCAGGATCTAATGCCAGAACTGAAGAGCCCATAGCCTCTGGTTAAAAGTCTAGCCCTCAGGCCTCTATGCAATTGATAACGTCTTGCCAACATATTTGAAAGGGGGTGAGGAGAGTGTTGCAACCAGAGTAGGTGCTTATAAAGGAAAATGTAATCACTTATTCAATTCAAGTTGTTGTAAAGCATAACCGGGGAGGCCCTTGATCGCCATTCTGACGTGTGCTATATCTCATGTTTTCTCAAACTGATTTTTTTTCTAAAGCAAGCACTGTATATATATATTGAAATCATTACCTATATCTTATGGAATACTGCCAATGGCTGTTTTGTGCATGGCAGAATATTTGGGAATATGAAGCTGCTGCTCTCTAGTGTCAGCCTTGTAGGAACTCATCTCTGTCATCTCCCCTTCCTCTCTCCCCAGCAATGAAGTTTATCTTGGCCACCACTAATGTGTCACATACAGGTTTAGAAACTATTTGCAGTGATGATTTGTGGCCCAGCATAATTGCCGTCAACATGATTTAGAACAGCTTCAACCCACCATTATTAAGCCGTCATGGAGCATAGGCTATGCCCTGGAAAGACTGTAGGATGACTTCCATCAGAGGATCTGTTATCAATGCCATACTATGCCATCTGTGATTGTGCACATGCCCTGGTACCAATAAGAGATATAAAACATCCAGACTAGAGAGAAGCCCTCTGAGTTCAAGCTGATTCAGTTTAGACCTCTACCAGGTCAACTACTACATCAGAGGACTCTGGCTTTCCCTATCAGGTAAAGCAAATGTTAACACTGCCTCACTGTCTAGCTTCCAGAGCAATGCAGAACTTTACAAGTGGGACCAATTTTCAATGCCCATGTCAAGGATAACAGTTAGCATTAGGTGAAAAGTGGGATCGCTTACACTCCAAGATCTGAATGTGTTAGGTTCAACATATCATCTGATTTCAATAATTTTAGGCCTTACTGGATCTCAGGTAGAAACAAAACAACATTTAAGTTAGATTGCTCTTCTGTTGCCAAATTAGCAAGGCTTTTTGATATTGCTTTGTTATCAGCAGGACCGTCATAAGGGAGATACAGATACTGTAAGTATCGCTATCTATCTATCTATCTATCTATCTATCTATCTAGTAATGATCTTTGATATCCGTCCCTGTGCCATTGCAGGGAGGCTGCCGGTCTCCTTCTCTCTTGCTTCCCTCTGCTGGGGCTTGCTAGAATATTATTTATTAAGTATAACACATTGATATATTTATTTTAATGATTTAAAAATAATTACCAGTTCCTCTCAGTCCATCTGTCAGCTGCGTACACTATACACACTCTGCATACCTTATACAAAAACATACTACATCCACCACACACACTGCATAGACTATACAAAACATACACTACACCCACCACACATGCATTGCATTCATTATGCAAACCCGCAGTGCATCAACCCCACACACACACACACTAGATGGGATGTGTGTTACATCTACCACACACCACATCTAGTATACAAACACACACCACATACAGCATACATTAAACAAACACACACTACATCCTCCACTATACACACTGCATACACTATGCAAACACATACTGCATCCACCCCACACACAATGCATACACTATTTACACACTGCATCCAGTATACAAACTCACACACATGGCATCCACTACACACACGGCGGTGGCAGGCCCTTTGGACTGACTTGGGGTGGGCACCACGGGCACAGGCCTTTAATTTCTGATGGCAGCCCTGGTTATCTGTCAAGCTTGGCAGTCTATTTTAAGGATACTAAACTACTTGTTAATTTAGTATCGTTTAGGAAACTGAATCTAATACTTGCATCATTACTCTTTACTTGGTGTATGGTAACCGTTCGATCTATACAGTTTCTCTAACTCTTTTTGCGAGTTATGCTGTGAAGTTGTGTTCGTCCTATATCGAAATGTAACTTTCATTTTTTGTATCTGTTGATCATTTTGTATCTTTTGTAACTGCACAATGAAATGTTAATTGAAAAAAGCATTTTGAATCTATAACAGCTAATAAAACAGTAAAAAAAAATAAAATACAGTATTACTTGTGAAATGGAGTGGAGTGCCCCTGGAACTAAATCCATGATTGAAATTTGGTACATCACCTCTTTAAAATAGAAAATAAGATAAAGACAAGAGCAAACACTATAGCAGCAGTATCAGTACAATGATGTAATAATGTTACCGGACTATGTTTTTTTTTTTGTAAAAATACCAATTGATGAGTTACATTCCTGAAAATGCATAAATAAAAGTGTGTCATATAAGCATGCCTCAAATAATCAAGATGACATATAGTTTGTGTATGCACACACATATACATGTATACAATGCATATATCAATGTTACAATCCTTCCTTTATTTGGAAGCAAGTTGTTGTAAAAGACGCAAAAATGCAGTAGATTTTGGTGCAAAATTAGTTAATACATTATATTTAACATTCATTTATTTAAATGAGGGAAGCCATTTTATGAAGCAAACATCACATTTTGCATTTATATTTCTTATATCTGGTTCTGACAGAAAAAAAAAAACTGGTACAAATTCTGCAAGTATTCCAAATTACGTTTCCAAAGCTTTATGTGGGTGGTTGTGATGGCCTTGACCAATGGAATATGCCATTCTCTCCATATCTTATGTGAGATAGCATGTCACCTTCTCTCACTATATACGTATTTTTTATAATAGTTAATATGTTATAATAACGGAGGGCCAACTTAATCAACTTGTTTGTGAGACAGCGGGTAGAGGCATTGTGATGACAGAAGGCCAGAGAGGATAGCAGCACGCTTGTAGAAAAGATTAGAAAATGAGGTTGAATTTAAACTTTGATGTTATGATGACACCTCCAGTGGTTTATATCATTAAGACTGAAAAGAAGGCCGACATATGTGAGGAGAAAGGAGGTAATATATATATATATATATATATATATATATATATATAAAGAAAAAGAGCAGAGGTAGAGCCAACAATTAGGTACACTAAGAAAATGGGGGGTAACCCCAGGTAGAAATTATAAAAAAAAAAAAGTGTACCTACACAGTCTGAAATAGAAATCAGGTCAGGCGAAACGTGCGCGTTAGGGGTTGCTAGTGTGCTGTTTCTATAATTCAGTAACCAGCACTTCAATTTGCGACCGAGCTATTTGATTTATTAGTTTATTTTCTTTCATTAATTCATCTTTATTTAATTTTTTCTACTATCATATCGGCACTTGCTTAGTGGGAATAGTGGCAGGTGCCCTTGAAGGCACGTTGGAGTGCTAGTTGTAGGATTTGAAGTATAGCTAGTTGATTGTGCAGCTATCAGCATCCTGACAAGTCTCTGTTTATATCTTGAAGAGTTAGCACTAACAGAATTCTATACACTGAGTACTTAGGGATCCAGCTATAGAACCCATTAGCAACTTCAAACCCCCCCCCCACCCCCATGAGTCTTTAGACTGCCTTCTCTGCCTGTTACAGATTGATACGTATATGGTATTCTGTGAGTAATAAGTGGAACACTAAAAGACATATACCTAGTGACGAATAGACTGACTATAGGACTTCTATAACTATATCTAGGTTTCTAATATAAGTTTAATTCTCCTTGATAAATTAAGCTCCTTTTTTACCATTAGTATTATCCTATCATTACCTTCATTCAACGTGGACTGCTGGGACTTTGTATTAGTCAATTTTCTTTTGGGTCTTAATCAGTCCTGCTGAACTGTTATCTTTAGGTAGATTAGATAGTGTTTCTATACTATTTAGTACCATTTTGCTATCATCTCCACTTAGCAACTTATTTTTATTACTGATACCATACTTACCAATCTCCCTGTGCAGTCTGAATCAGTCCTGCTTTATTGTTTACATTGCTGTATTAATCCATAATACTAGTAGGCATTTTTAACAGGGTATGGATTTCTAATTTTCTAAATTTCTACCTTTTTTTATGTCCACTGTTTGTACAAGCATATTCACCACATGTTAAGATTTGTTATAATAAAAAAAAATATATTTTTTATTTTATTGATCTAGTACTATCTCTGGTAGCAACTAGCCTAGTATCTCTCAGTCAGTCATAATTTCTGATTTCTATTTCAGACTGTCTAGGTACACTATTTTTCTTATATATATATATATTTATTTATTTTTTTGCAGAGGATGCATTCCACCAGCTTCTCTTATTTATAGCAACATAAACAAATAGGTTTCTTGAACACATTCCTTGTATTTGAATGCCATTGAGTGATAAATGAGCTTATTTAACTTCTATAAACGAAGAGCTTATTTTAAGTCATATTATTTCATTTTACAAAATACTTGATATCCCTGTAATTATTAGGAATGCTTTACAGATTTGTCAATTCCACAGATGGCTATTTGTACACTGACAAAATGTACAATAATTATGAAAAATGCATTAAATTGTTGCTATATCCCATAACTTAGCAATATTTACTTTTTGTAAAACGATGGCTGATAATACACACAGCTCATAGCACTAAAAACTAAATTGTGACTTTTATTTTCTGCAGCAATGTAATCAGATGACTAATATATATTGAAATGAGCTAGGGACACCTAGTCATTCATTCTGTAAAGAAGCAATAGATAAATTTTTCATGTGGCCATATCATACATAATTTCCCTCATTTTATGCAATTGTTTTGACATTTCAAAAAACACACTGACAAACTATTAATTATAAATTGACATTAATAAAATAATAAAACTCCTAACTGTTCCTTCTTTTGTTTAGATGTAAATAATACTTTTAATTACAAACAAATCTACATAAATTAAGGCGCTTGTGTTTGTGGAGAGTCTGAATACACCAACACGCAGGCACCATATTTGAAAAATTGGAATATATATATTTAAAAATTGGAATATCTTAAAAAATTGGTAAGAAATTTTTGACAAATAAACATATTTGCATCACAAATCTGAACTGTTGTCAATTTGTACATTATGTTGTGGTGTGCTCCATTGAGTTTTGTTAAATTGGTACTTTGTCTATATAAATTAGATGTATTCTGGTCTAGATACAACTTGCATTTCCACTCCTTCGGTTTTGTCTCGGAGAGTGCCACCAAGGTTTCTTGAACTTCTGTCTCTGAAAAAAAAAATATGAGGACAAACATGAATGTAATTCAGATTTTTTTTTTCCATTAGTAAATTATATGTGATTTTACTGGAAACATAATGCTCAAAAGATACAAAATGTAATCAGTAGAAAACAGCATGATGTTCAAGAAATGATGGACACCTTTCAACACCTTAAGCCATCTCAAGGACTAATTGGCAAAAATACAGTTTTATAGAAAGCATGGTAGATGATTGTAACAGCCTTCCACTAGAAGTTATGGTCACAGGGCTAGTAAGACGCATTTACGTTACTGTGTCCAATTAGCACAATCACGCTTGGAAAAGTTTTCCAGGTTTACTTACCTTGCTCTGGTTATTTAATGAATCAATTAAGAAAAGTCCTTGTATAACTGAATTTAAAAGATCATTTGAAACTCTTGGGAGAGATAAAAATCCTGCTAAGATGTGTATTAAACACGGTAATCATTCAATGGCAAATAATACCATAGAATTTCGTACGCTAGCTGCAGAGTTTGACTGGACAAATAGCTCTTTGCTTTTGGCATTTGAAAGGCTCTCTGATACCTTGTTGGATGGGACAGAAGCTAAGGAATTATCAGAGAGGCTAGAAGATTGCATAATCTACATGATGCAAATAAACAACAGGCTTAGGGAGAGCGAAAACACCCAGAACAAATCCAAGTGTTCATGTACCCCTTTGCCTTCCCGCTTCACCTCTTCTCTTGCTTCTGCACAGTGTGAGCCTGAAACTAATGCAGTAAGGAGCCACCAAGTTATGAGAGGCAGCAATTTAGGAGAAGTGAGGGCTTATGTTTATATTGTGGTAAAAAGGGTCACCTGGGTAGAACATGCCCTGTTCGTCCGGAAAACATATGCACCTAAGAACCATTAGGGGAACGGCCTATGTGTTATGAATGCGTTCCCTAATATGCCTTATACTATATTCTTGCTTCCTATTTCACTATCCTGGGGTACAATTGTATTATGGTCCATGGCTCTTATGGAGTCTGGAGCAGTTGAGAATTTCATAGATATAAACTATACTCATTTACATCAAGTACCACTTAAAAGCAAAACCACACCTTTAGCTGTAGAGGCCACAGATGGTAGACCCCTTAAGAGTCTTGTTATTACTCAGGAACCATGTTCTCTGAATCTGGTGATAGGAGCTTTACACAAGGAATCTATTGTTTTTTAAAGTTATAACTTCTCTATCATGTCCAGTTATTTTAGGTTTCCTTTGCCTTTAACTATACAACCCACAGCTTGATTAGATTCACTGAGAGATATTGTCACGGGGTATATGTTGTAAAGAAAGATGTCTTGTGTCTATTAAACCTATCCATGATATTAAAGTTCCTTCCACTACACCCTTATCTACTGAATTAACACCACAGTATATTTCTGTAAGAGAGGTGTTTAATAAAAGCTATGCTGAGTCTTTGCCTCCACACAGATGATACGACTATGCCATTGACTTATTGCCAGGAACTATGTCAGGGTTAGGGTGTATCCATTGTCCCCACATGAGAGTAAGATAATGAAAGAATACATTCAAGAGTCATTCTTTAAAATTTTGATTCAAAGATATGGTCTCTGGTGGGAGTAGGATTTTATTTTTATTTTGTTTTAAAGAAAGAGGGTGATTTACAGCCCTGTACTGACTACAGAGGTCTTAAATACATAACAGTAAAAATGCTTATCCCATATCTCTTATTTCTGAATTGTTTGACAGACTTAAAGTGGCTACTGTTTTTACTAAATTGGATCTGCAAAGTGCCTACAATTTAGTAAAAATAAAGAAAGGGCATGAATTGAAGACAGTCTTTAACGCCAGGAGCAGGCATTTTGACTATCTGGTCATGCCCTTTGGGTTATGTAATGCTCTTTCTTTCTACCAGGACCTGATAAATAATGTTTTGAGATATTATATTCATCCTTATTTCCTGGTGTACCCTGACGATATACTCATATTTTTCCCTAATCTTCACTCACATCATAATCATGTAAAAGTGGTTCTAAAAACATTGTTGGAGAAAAGCTTATATTGTAAAGTGGAAAAATGTATTGTCGACCAAACTAAGGTACAGTTTTTGTTTTTTGATCTCTGCTTCTGGGTTAACTATGGATCCTAAAAAATGTAAACTAGTGTTGCAATGGCCCTTGCCAAAAGGTTTAAAAGCTATCCTGACCACTTGAAGCTTCAACAGCATTTGATCGATTGAAATCCCTCTTTCTCACCACTCCATTCAATCCTTTTGTGTCACTGAGAAACTTCCTGTCAGACTGGGTAGAGGAAACAGAAGATCCTCCACCGTGGTCCCTGTGCAACACTACATGAAGGTAAACATGAAGAGACCACACAGGGATGCCGGAGACAGATGGACAAAGAGACGTACAGAAGGATTGGGCGTGGGGAATTGACACAGAGGTGCTGGAGGGTCAAAGAGGCAGTGGGGACAAAGAAACACAGAGAGGGGCTGGGTATTACAAAGAGACACACAGAGGGACTGCGGGTTACAAAGAGACACAGAGGGGCTGGGGGGATGACAAAGAGACACACAGAAGGTCTGGGGGGACAAAGACACACAAAGGGGCTAGGGAAGGGGACAGATATATATACAGAGGTGCTGAGGTAGGGTACACAGACACTCAGAGGGGCTCATGAAGGGGACATTGACAAAAACACAGAGGGGCTGGGGAAGGGGAAAAATAAACATGCAAAGTGGCTGGAGGGAGAAACATGCAAGAGAGCTGGGGGAGACACAAAAAGGGGATAAGGAAGAAACACAAAAAGGGTCTGGGGGAGAAAGTGGCACACAAA